GAGTTTTCATTAATTTTGCCTTTTGGAAAAGCCCTCATCCTTTTTCTTTCCCTAGAGGCTTGTGGTTTGATTAAAATTAACCTGAACCAAGACAGACTACTAACGGTACCCGAGCAAGGCAGATGGAGAGAAAATGTTAAATTTAACTTATGAACATGCTTTACTTGGAATAATATGCTCACTAGATCAGCAGCTGTGTAATCATCCTGAAGCTGTCTGGCTTAATGTTTGGGTTTTTTTCTTTTTTAAAAAATCTGTTAACCAAGTAAAGTGAAAATGGAGCAGTTCCTAGAGGTCTTTTGGTTCAAAGGTTAGTGATGTATTAGTGTACAATATTAATACATATATATATATATATATATATATATATATATATATATATATATATATATATTTCAACTGCCCTTCACCCCCCTCTGTGCCAAAGCCTGGTACATGCTAGAGTAGCAAAAGATAAACCTTTCTTAATGTAATAATTTGAGAATATATTTATGTATAGCATTTTCATCTTATCTCTGGGTGACAGAGACACAAAATGATGTTTCTCTTTCCCCTCCTCCTCACCAGTCTGGTGAATGAGTGAAAACAGCTTCGTGAGAACTCAGCGTGTGGGCATGACTAGCAGTTCTGGATTTAAAATGTCTTGGATATGTGGCACTTCAAATTGGCCTCTTAAGAGCCTCACTCCATGTTGCGGAGAATGTATGACACTGTGTTCTCCAGAAACATTGGATTTCTGTATGCATTGGCTTTTTATTTTTCATGATCTGCCCAGAGCTCTTTTACCATCAGAGCTGATTTAAGTACTGCATGAAAGCAACTCACAAGTGAGTCTTTCTAGGTTTTATTGGCATAAGCTATGAAGCTAATGCCATCAATATTTGTTGATCACTTAACATTTTCAGCTTAGGTAACTATCAGAAATACAAATATGAGCATAGTTCTTTCAGCAGGTTTCAGCACAGAATTATTGATTGTCTGGTGAGACAGTGAGTTGCAAAATAATTTATTTCTGTTCCTTCTAAAAGTGGAAAAGTACTCTTAAAATGTACCTAATCTATTCTTTAATTGCATTATTTGCAAGTTCTTTTTAAAGAAGCAAGATTAAAAAGAGACACCACTAGAATACTTTAGAAAGGGACGTTTTTAACTCAGACACACTACTGCTATGGAAAGTTGTAAAATAGTCCCTCTAGTGTACTGCTGCTGTAAGAAGGCACAGGAATATCTGATGTGATTAACTGAAGAGTATGGCTGCAGGAAATTACAAAACAATGCTTTGGTAAGGCATGTTAAAGTTCTTATATAAATTGGAGAGTCTGATCTACTACTGTACGTAAAGTCAAGCCATAATAAATAGATACGAAACAAAAAAAAAAACCAACCAAAGAACTGTCAGAGTTCCTAATGAAGTAGAGTTAATGATGTACAGTGTGAGACCATTGCTCTTGTCATCAGTGCCTGAAAACATGAATGAGGAGCAGAGCCACTCAACAGGGTGTGGGGCTGAGGTGTGCTTCCTCTTCCAGTGCTGTAGATTTGCATTTGTGTCATATTTTGCATAAACTGCCTATGTACTGAAAAACAAACTTGGATGTTGGCATCTTCTTGAACTGAATGTGACTTTGATGTGACTTCTAAAGACCTGTTTAACCTCTGTCTCAGGGTGTTAGGCAGTGCAAAGGAGCTGTACTGGGGTGGGTGCAGTGAAGCTTCCTTTTATGCCTGGCAGCCTCTTGCTAATATCTCCCTGGGTCAGGTTCCCTGCAGGCCAACCACAGAGTTATTGTGCTTATCAGTGTGGAGGAATGTAGTCATTGTGGGATGTTGTGGAGTATAAATGTTTCTTTTTTTGTGCATTGTAGCTGACCAGAATGTCAATTAAGAATCTTTACTGTATACCTGTTTTTTACTGACTGTTCCTGATGGTAGCCTGTGTGCAAAGCTCTGCAGCCCTTTGTACACTTGTTGGTTGCAGAGCAGCACCAGGCATGGAATCCCTGTTATTGTGGATTTTGTACAAGCAAAAAGTACTACTTTTGCACTTAAACTAAAATCCAGTTAAGGCTCATTCAAAGTACAGGACCATCTGTGGAGTCCTTGCTTTAGGAAAGAGCTGGGTAATCATTTAGGGTTAAATGCATAAAAGGGATTAAAGCTCTGCTGAAAGGAAGAGAGGAAAGCAAAAAAAAAAGCACTTGCAAAGTATTAAATTGCATGTTAGGGACTTTAATGTGTATAGTACATTGTAATTTTGGAGTTCAGAATTGCACAATGTTATAGGATCCCTCATATCAACTGTTATAGGGCTTCAAACAATCACTGTTCTGGAAAACTCCCGAGTCTTTCTTTTGTCAGTTATTGAAAATCAGACATTTTACTGCATTAATTTGCTTTGCTGAATGACTATTGAAATTCTGTTTATCAGACAACTCAACCCAAACATAACTGCAATCATACCCATGGACCTTGAAATTTGGGAACTCTTAGTTGTTTCTGTAGTGTCTCAGAACCAAAGAACTGAAATTTCAAGTGGAAGGAGAATCTTGCTTTGTCCCACCTTTTGTTGGAGCAAATACATTTACACTTATGTGATATTGGAATAGTGTGTTGACCAGAAGTGGTAATTCCATGTGTGATTACTGGTATAAGTATTCTCAACATTTCCTCAAAATTTAGAGAAACCACAACTGCAAGAAAAATGCCTCTCTATAGACATTGTTCTGTTTCTTGACAGTGCTGTGTTAAGCTGTGGTTTAATAGGAGTGGTTCAATGGGTAAGCATTATCTTTTATTCTGTAGAAGTTGAATCTGTGTTCTTATCTTTACTAAAGACTGGAATGCTTAATGGTCTCTGTTCTAAGAGCAGGGAGGATTCTGTTGTCTCTAGTCATACAGTTCCTTTCTCTGTCCATCGCTCTGCACAATTTTTTGGTAAATGCTTCTCTGGCTTCCCCAGTGTGTGTTGGTGTCATTGCGGGCCTCTGTGCCTGCCCCCACTCCAAGTTTTCACATCAATTCCTGAAAATGTTTTTCTATTGCTCTTATGTATAAATCTTGCTTTTGTTTGTGTTCATATTGATAGCTCTAAAATGTACCTTGGCAGTACACTTTGGGATCAGTGTTTGCTAGTTACCTACCTAAAACTTGTAATTTTATTTGTACAGCATTTCCCCCCCCCATCTTTTTTCTTTTTTTACTGTTATCTTGAAGAAGCTGTAATTAGCTGTGAAGTGTAAGCCATATGTCTACTGGGTTTGATTATGCTAGATAAGTGAGAATCCCTCTAAGGAAAAAGGTCTGCGTGGGTGGAATAGTTTGCAAGAGATTTTTTGTATGCTGTGAAATATCACGTTGAAACAAGTAAGGGATATTCAATTCACCAGACTTACCCCTCTTAGTTTTGAGAACCATGAAGCCTCCTGTGACTTTGCCAATCAATGCCCACCCATGTGTCAGGACAGATCATTTTGCTATTGAATCCCACAGCATCTTGTCTCGTGTGGCTCAGCATACCTTGCAGCCCTGCGCTGGGATTCTTGCAGGTGCCCAGGGGCAGGTTCTGGTCTGATATGGAAACCAGAACTCTCCTGCAACACCAAGACTTGTTAAAGGAGTCTTTTTTCCCTTCTGATCTTTTGATTAATGTGAAATAGTTTTAAATTAATTTTGTCATTTATTTAATCAACTTTTATTCACAGTTTCTAAAGCGTATTCTAGACCATATTGCATTTCTTCTGTTAGAAGGGGAAATATGTGCCCCCATCTTTGATTATGTTAATGGCATATTTATTTGTTTTTATTATTCTTTGCTGTAAGGCAAAACGAGATTTTTTTATGGCATTAATTTTCACAGCAGTTTAAATAAACTCCAAATATTGCTTTCACAGGATTAATCTAACATTAATTCTTAGTTTCGCTCATCTGCCTATGAAATATTTTTCACTAGGGAGGCTTTGTAACTTCAGTTTAAGCTGTAGTTTGCAGTATTTCTCTGTGGTTTTTACTTTGTCATTCTCCTGTGTAAACATATAATTTTCCTTCCTTTGAGAGATGCACTTTTAACTCTCTTTTTTGGTCATAGTAGGCTTGTAATTAGAACTTCAAAAATAAACAACTGAAATTGTAGTGATTATTCCCAAATGCCTGTGAAATGTAGAATTGCTGTACTGAATTTTGATCTGCTGATAAAAAGCTTCTTTGGAGATTTATCTTCAGCTAAATGTGCATTTTGATTTGAAAAGATACAGGCTGAAACTTCTGAGGCATTCAGGGGGAACCTTGTCATTAGAAGTATGGACATTCAGGCAGGGTGTCATTTTGGGTTATTTTCTCTCTCTAGCAAATAAGGCTTACGTATCTGCATATGAGTAAATAGTTATGATGGAGAGGACTTGCCAGGCAGAGTCAAATAGGTTTTGTATGAATTCAATTGCCAGCAAAACAACTCGCTGTCTGTGACCGTGTGTATTCTCCGCTCCCTAATGCTCCCCATCGCTGCGTGCGTAGCCTCAGCGCTTACAGGAGGTGTTCTCCTAGGATGAGCTTATCCAGACTGCTGCCGTATTCCAAACACGAGGAAGGGTTCCGAGCTGCTCTGTGCAGCTGTGGCCGATGGGAGGGCTCAGCTTTGGCCCCCGAGGTGGCCGAGCTCCGGCCCCGGGTCGCCCCGCCGCCTCCCAGGCGGGCCCCGGGCGTTGTTGCCTCGGGCTCTGGCTCCCTCTGCCGCCCGCGCCGCTCCGCTCTGCAGCCGCCCGCGGAGCCCGAGCGGTCCCGGGCAAAAAAACCTCCACTGCATTGCAAATTGTGCTTGGCATAGCCAGATTTTGTCTCTTTTTATATAATTTGATTTGAAGTAGTGCTGCTGATAATGAAACAATGCAGAAGAAAATGTTTTATTGCTTCTGTTCCACACTAATCATAGTTTCTCTTTCCCTCTTCTGCAGGTGATAGAAACACTTTCAAAGCTTTCCCGCACTCCGATTGCACTAGGCACAGGCATAAGGTATGTTATTGCCAGAGGGGAACGGTGGCAGTAATGCCTCTTGGTGGGATGCTCCTTGGAAAAGTTGTTAGAGGCAGGGTGTATCCCCCACTAAGAACTTCTCTAGCTGTAAGCCAGAGTGCCCGGTGAGCAGCTGTGCAAAGCTCCAGACTTCTGAGGAGTTAGGAAAGGTGTCTGCTACCTCTGCTGCACTTGCTGAAGGGCCCGAGCCATGTGTACAGCTCATGCTGGAACGGGAGGTGAACAGAGGAGCAGCTGGTATTGCAGAACTTGTGTGATAACCCTGACACAGGGATCAGAAGTGAAGATGATACAGTGCTGATTTATGTAAAGACAAATGGTATTTCTCTTCTTTCTCGATTCTAAAAAAAATCAGCTGAATTGCCCAAGTTTGTGAGATTCTTGTTTTCAAAAAGAAACAAAAAAACCCCAACCAAACCTAACCTGAAAGTTTTGATGATTTTTTTTTTCAGTTGAAAAATGTCAATGATGTCTATTAGTCGGGATTTATAACAACTGTGTCCAGTAAGGTTTTTATTACATTAAGTGTTAGTCTACATAATGAAGTATAAATTCACATACTGCTCATCAGAGAAAGGGGGGGTGCATATAAGCACATTGGTATGCAATAATCTGTTTGAAAATTTTGGAAACCAAACAGAAATCCACTATATGACTAGGCTAGTGGTGTCTGTAATTAATGCTATTTTTCTTTCTGTAGGCCCTTCCCTACAGAAGAAAGTGTTGATGATGAAGATATCTACAAAGCTCTTCCTGACTTAATAGAGTATGTTGTAAATATAATATTTACAGATTTTTGTTGTTTTTGTCTTTCAGTTGCATGCTATTGTTTGTACTGTGTTGTAGAACATATATTTTTAATGAAAATTGGATATTTATTTAATTTGTAAATATTTTGTTAGTTATGCTGACCAGGAAGAATTAATTATGAAAACTTATTTGAATTATTATGCTACATTTGTGTATATAAACCAGCATGTTTAACAGAAGATGCTTGTAGCAAAGCAAATAAAGAATGCATTTCTAAGTTACCTGTCAATACTATGAGAATACTTTCAGAAGATAGCAATATCACTTGTAAGGAAATTGTCTTGAACTAGCAAAGAAAAATAATGTTTGGATCATAATTCAAGTGGATCTTTTTCCCTAAAGTCAGTGAAATTATTTATGTGAGTGCATTTACCTCTTCTGGGTAAGTGTTTGCAGGGTTGTCAGGATACTCTTCTGTCCTGTGGCTGGGATCTCTCAAGATCCATGAGGAATATGTTGGGCAAGAGCTAGGTCAGAGCTCACTGTTCCAAGGCTCAAAGTTCACCAGCACTCCTTGCATGTCACTTGCTGCAGTGTGGGGAAGAAGCTGCTGTTCACACCAGGGATTTGTTTCTTCAGTGCCTATAAAGAAGGAAAACCTCACTGTGATTGGCATTGCTCAATTTAGCACTTTACCTGCAAAGCTTGTCCTCGTCTCTGCAGCTGACTGGCTGTCTCAGAGATAATTGCTTTTCACTCTGTGTAGCAGAGCATGCAGAAGGTAGGAGTTGCAGTCTCCTCCGAGACCCAAGTGGGCAAGAGGTGATGTCCTTATCTCTTAGATGTGGTGGCATTATAACTATTTGAAAATAATATTTCCACCAGTTCTTAAATGGGTATGTAAATTCAGCATTGTGAGATAGTTTTCATTAAAAAAAAAGCTAACAAATAATTCCAAAGAAATTGATTTGTAACTCTCCTTGTGCAACAAATTATGAAATTAACAGAAATGTAATAGTTGCATACTGTCTCAATTGTGGAGGAAGCAATTCAAGAATAATAAACAAATGTGCTAGTGAATAATGCAAATAGCCCACATTTTTTAGTTTCCCTCAATTATCAGTAACTTTATTTGAAATTGATTTAATTTCCCCAGAGTTTAAATGGTGTCTAAAGAATTTAAAATTAATTTAAGTCCTTTTGTCAGAAAGAGCTGTAGTAGTTAAATGTTTCTATCCTTACCCTGCCTTTCTGCCAGCTTTTGTTCCTGGGAGCAGAGGAGGTAGAATGGTGTGTGTGCTGCATCTGACACCTGCCAGTGTTTAATGTGAAGTGCCAGCACAGCATCATTGCTGATGGGAACTGAAATGCTGGGCTAACCTGTTGGTTTTTATTCATAAGGATTTCAGTGTTGTTTTCCAACAGGATAAACCTCAACATTGTCTGCATATCTGATCCAGTTTCTATCTTGTTATTGTGACTCTAGTGTTTTCAAGATCTTTTAGAGCTTTTTTGTAGACCTACCCTAAGAAATAGGAGTGGAAGATATTATAGGCTTGATACTGTCCTAGCACAAAGTAGATAACACTCTAGCAGGACTGACTGTAATGAAAGTGAATTAGCTGAGGGCAGAGTTGAGCCCCGACTTTCTGCTTTATTTCTGTGTCTGGGTAATTGGAGGGCATCACTTGTGCATACTCTGTTTCATTGGACTGTCTGATTTTCAGTTTGATTGGTTCCTTTTTTCATTTTTGTGTAGCTGAAGGTTGCGTGAGATGGTCCAGATTGTGGTTTATGGTGTGGAGGTATAGTGCCTCAGTGCTGGCTCTGCAGCCTTTGGTGTATTTTACCCTGGCTAGTCCTTTCTTCAGACAGGGAGAAGACCTGTAACAGCATCTCAACATCCCAGTGCAGTGGGATGCCAGGCAGTAAGGAGAGGCAGCTCCTCTTCACTGGATATGGAGGGAAAAGTGTCAAGGAGAAGAGGGCAGCTGGATTGTAGCTTGTGACAAAACAGTCCTGAGGTGTTCCTTTTGCTGCTGGTTTAGTTCTCACATGGTTCTAAATTCATTAGTCTTCAGTATTGTGTTGATTTTGTAAAATTTATTTTAAATGAATTGAGAAAAGAAAATTAATGAATGGACTTAGTTTCCCTTAATGAGTAATTTTCATTAGATATTCTATTAATTAATCTGTTTATTTACTCTAGAACTTTCTCCTATGAGTAGTCCCTTGCAGAGCTGGTGGTACTTTGTATGGACTGCACAGTTTTTTTTTTTGTCTTGTCTTTTCAGTGAAACTGGTGTTGAGGAAGATGAGGAGTTGTATGATTGTGTCTATGGAGAAGATGAAGGTGGGGAAGTTTATGAAGACCTAATGAAAGATGAAGCAGCACAGCAACCTGTATGTTTTCCAGTTCCTAGCTAGTTTGGAACAACACCAGTAGACTTATTGAAAGTTGAAATTATGTCTTTATAGATAGTTTCACTGACACTCTTGCTCAGCTCCATCCAGAGTTGTCATGTGCAGAGCATTATCTTCTATGTGAGGCTTTGCAGGCTTTTTGGGTAGACAGGAAAACATTAACTGTAACAAGCTTTTAAAAAGGAGGCTATTTTTAAATTAAATACAGTAATTACTTTGATAGTTTTGAGTAGTAAAATTTACCAGCTATTTTAAGAGCAGTTAATTGAATTGCTTACTTGAAAGTGTCCTACCTTCAAAATTGTTATAAGTTTGTAAAAATATTTTGTATAGTATTATTTCAGCCATAGTTTACACAACTAGCCTAACAAGGACAACTGAGAATTGTTTCAAACTAATGATTTTCCTGTTTATTCAACTATGTAGGTTTTGTTGATCATTAGGTTGTCATTATGTTGCAAAGTAAACTATTCCACTAAGTTTTCTAGGAGTAGCTGAACTTCAAAGGCAGATTTTTATTACCTGTACTGATATCACACATTATTTCTTATTCCCCCTTTCCTTTTGTTTATTGCACTCAAATTCTAGATGTTTGCAGTGTGGATAGAAAAATTGTTGTGTCAATTTCTGCCAAAAGTCTTTATTGATTTCTTTGGGTTAGGTGAGCACAAAACTGAAGTGAATGGTTTTAATTGGAATGCCAGGATTTGTTTGCATCACTCATATAAGTACTGGTGAACAACAAACTGCTCAAATTTTGCAGATGGGTATAAACTATTGAATACAGTAACTTCTGTAATGGGGCAAATACTGCAAACGTTTTGGTCAGTATTGAGCTAAAGGTAAAAAATGGCTGAAAGTCAAAATAATGTCAAATTCTAATACTTTATAGAGATTAATTACCTACAGTTACCTGTGACAGTGTCTCTTTCCCTGTACAAAAGAATTTGGGAATAAATTTGAGATGAGTGTGACCACGATGATGCTCACAAACCACAATTCTTCTGATACAACTACATTTTTGCAAAATGGTTACTTGTGCCTGCATCTGATAAAAACAGAACCTTACTGTTCATTGTGGGAAAATGAAGAACTGCACAAATTGGGTTTTCAAGAGTAGTTTCTGAAATTGCAGCTCATGGTAAATGAGAGTGAGAAGCTGTGTACTGCTTGTAGGAGCTGGTTGTAGAGTGACACAGAGACAAAGAGAGAAGGTAAATGAGATCAGTGACCAAGCTTTGTGTACCTGTGTTATTTGCAATTTGGTATGTAGTTGAGGTGGTAAGAATACATCTCCGTCTCTAAGGTGGCCAAGCTGTATAGGAGCAGTGCGTGGCTAATGGACAGTGTAAGTGGGGCTTAGTCTGTGCTGTGCTTAGCAGGTGTGTCAGCCTGGCAGCAGAGAGGGCATGGAAGGAATCTAGCTCTTGAACATACCAGGAGCTAAATGTTAAAATTTCAGTCTAGAAATTCTGCTATTCCTAGAGAAGTCTTTTGTTTGAAAGCTAAAAATAGTTTTTCTGAATCGAAAGAACTAGAGTGCTAAATTTCTACCCCTGACTCTCTCTCTATTTGAACAACATCTAGTCATCTGGTCTATGTGCAGCATAGGAATTCTCTACATTGGGTGAAAATAAGTGAGATACAACCAGGGATATGCTGAAGTGTGTTGCAAATTGATAAATAGGCTTCAGAAAGTATGTTGTAGTTCTGTTGCTTGTTAAGATACTGCTTATTGTTATTGGAAAAAACATTTTGGATTAGTTACTTTTTCTAGCTGCAAGGGCCTATCCAGTTTCTGTGTCAAACCTCCACACTGACCTCTGATATCTCCAGAACTTCTGTGCCTTGCATGACATGAACGGTTCCATATCATCTTCCAGTAATTTACTCTTTTATTTGAACTAGGATTTTATTGAAGCTGTAATGCTGTAAATCCTATCTTGGGTAAGAGTGCTTGTAAACTATTTTTATAGAGTCATATAATTACTGATAATTACTTCCATGTCCTGTGTGTCTGGTGGTATACATGGAAAAATCCAGGGTCTTGTTGGAGACACACACATACATATGTGACAGCTGAACTTTGAGGTCAGTGCACTTCCTGATCTGAGGACATACTCCTTTTGTGTCCAAAGAGGAAGTTCGCCTTGAGAAATAAAAAGGTAAAAACTGTAAATAAGTACAAGGATTAGACTGAATCCAATATTTATGGCAATACAAAGTTATTTACATGATTTAGCCCCATTAAGTTTAATAGAATTATTAACTGCTGAGTATTTTAAAGAAGATTTCTCAGTCTGAATGTAAATTAAATGTGACCGTGTATTTCAGCTTCCAAAGTACATGCTGATACTTCAGTGTTTGATGTCTAAACATTAATTTTTCATAATATTACTTTGATTTTACTAAAGTCATCAGCTAATTGAACACTAAAATATTCTTGTTTATTTCTGTCATATTTGGAGGCTGCAGTACTCGGAGAATTTCAGGAAGCAGTTATCCTAATTGTGTAATTCTAAACAAATAATACCATTTGTTATCCATTAGGTGCCTGTTAATGACTTAAACTTGACTCCATTGTAATTGCAGAAATGTCCTGAAAATGACATAAGAAGCTGTTGTCTTGCTGAAATAAAGCAAACTGAAGAGAAGTACACTGAAACTCTGGAATCGATTGAGAAAGTAAGATGCTGCTTATAGACTTGTAACATGCATTTTTATAGCAGTCTAGAAGATAGAATTACAGTAGCCAATGTATATATAATTTTTTTTCTTTCAGTTTTTCATGGTGCCATTGAAAAGGTTTCTGTCAGCATCAGAGTTTGATACTGTTTTCATCAACATTCCTGTGAGTAATTATATTTTTAAGTAACAGATATGAGGTTCATAGCTGATTGTGATATATTCATGTTACTGCACAAAATTATTATTTGAAATACATTGCACAATGTGTTTATGTGGATAGTAGTTGATTAAAAAGAGATGTGCACTATCAGTTTCTTTTTTTTCTGCTTGAGGGAATAAGGTAAGATAAATTGTATTAGCATGTGAGATAATGAATTGTTATAAACTGCAGTATTTTTGATCCTTAAAAGCTAATAGTTTCTAGAAATGGATTATCTTCTAACAAATGGTGATATTTTAATGATGGTACAAAGTTGTGACTGCTAAGTTACCTATCACGATATACAACTAGCTGTAGCTGCTCTGTGAATCCTTGTAGCTGCCCTGGCTCTTACACCATTGAACACACTTGAAAGTTAACATAATTCACAGTTTTGGATTCAGAATCTGGTGCTACAAAGGATGAGGAAATCCTCTGTGAACCATCTAGGAAACCTCCTATTTGACAGAAACAATAGTGGTTCCTATGATTGCGGCTTTGTGTCATTTATTTTCAGCTTAATCAAAACAGTATGATAATTTACATGTATTTTTAGTTTATAAGAGATCATCATGTCTTTACTCTGTCTAACTTTAAAGGAAGACATCAGAAATGGTTTGAAGCCTCTCAACACAGACAAATGAAAGCAATGTTCTTTTATGAGGCCTTTGTAAAGAAAGGGTCCCCAGTGTGTGGCCCATGTGCCACATCAAGCTATTGCTTGTAAAATATCACCTCTTGTTTGGCCATCTCTTGCATGTCCAATGGGCTCTCAGGTTATAGGAGGAGGTGTTGGGGATTTTATTCTATTCTGTGAAAACCTGGCCTGTCTGTAACAATGTTTTGCTGTTCCAGCATCATCCTGATAGAAGGTAAGTTAGGGCAGTTATTTTGTGGATGATACCTGACCCCTTGCCGTATTTTTCCCTCAATGAAGCTTTCACTCTGCCTCTTGATTGCTGCCATGTCCTGTATTCTGAATATTATTCCAAAACACTGTCACAGATATCAGTAACTAATTTGTCTTCCTGAATTACATCAGCTCTCTATAGAGATCCCTTTGCTTTTAAAAACAAATTTATATTCTGTCCTGCATTAGTGTTTCTTACTCATTGCAACTAAAGCCATGATGTGTCCTACTTAAGTTACTGTAAACCTCTTTTCTAAGGCTCTGTGTGCCCAGGCATATTGACTTACTTTTGCTGAAAGACCTAATTCCAGTCAATGGAAACACTGCACAAGGGTACAGAAAGGGCTTGAGGGCTGTAAGCACAAACAGGGAGGTCAGCCCACTCACTGCTAGTTAAACGATTGCATGGGATCACATAAGATTGAAAAGAACAAAACCTGTATATTTTAGTAAATAGTATAGTAAATATACTGTATATAGTAAATGTATATTTGGGTTGTTTTATATTGCTTTTTGTTATCGGCATTCAATATTCTGCTGTTAGAACATGCTGCTTATTCCAAACTCCAGGAGCAGTTCATGGGCATCCAGTAACCTTAAAGGAAATACAGAACTTGCCTAAGCCAAAAATACTTGCAAGCGCTTTCTCTGCTCAGACCTTGTCTGTGTGGCAGTTCCTCAGCAGGAAGGCTGGAGGGCAGTGGAAGCTTGTTTTAAACTAAAAATAGCTGTTACTCAGAGCTCTGCAGCAAAGTGAGATGTGAAGAGCAAGTGCTGTCTTCTCAGAACAGAATGGATTTACTTCTGTTAAGGGTTGTGGTGAAGGATTGCTTCCTTAGGGTGATGTTATATTCCTTAAATAGACTCTAAGAGATGCTTGCTGGATCAACTGCTGATACCAAAATACTTCATTTTGAAGGGAACAAAAAAAAGCAATTACTCCAAATGACTTGCCAGTCTAAAGAGAGTGCCTTTCAGTGGCACTCATATTTCTAAGTTCTGCTCTTTAAAGTGAATGTATGGCTCTATATTTGCATCTGTATATGTCTGTCTATATTGTGTATATATGCATTTGTATGCACATCTATGTGTGCACCCATATATAAATGCACTTATATGTGCACCTGTGAATGCCTTTGAATTATACAGAGAGAGATGAAATTACATGTAACAGATACTGTTGGAATATTGATTAACTTCAAATGATGTTGCATTAGTTTAGTTTAAAACTTGATTTGAATAAGAGATGGAAATCCAAAAAGACCCATTGTCCCCTTATCATTAAGCTGTTTTTGAGGGTTACTACTTAGCTGAGTCCCTGTGTGCTCTTAGAAAAAGTGCTCCTGTTCCAAATACACCAATTGGGAATAATTTCTGTAATAATGTCTGTGTACTGCAACTTAAGATTCTGAGGATAAAGCCATGCAGTTGCTAGCAACTAAATTTGTTCTGTTTCAAGATTCTGCACCCTCATCAGTGATGTGATTGACCTTGTATACACTTTAGCTTTCATCAGTGTGAAGTGAAATGTTTTGACTTAGTTCACGAATCAATGTTGAATATTATTTTTGTAGTATATAATTTCTTGCATTAAATCATCTTTAGTGGCTTGCTCTGTTAAACAGTCCTCTTTTTTGTTCCAGTGGTCTGTATACTACTTACAGTTACCCAGATTTCAAACTTCTTAACCTGTTTTGACTTAATTTCTTGTGAATTCTCTGACAGTGTCCATGCAGTGTTAAGGCTGATGTAGTCTCCTATAGTTTGATGGTGTATAAGCAAGGAGAGTTGCAACAGTAATCAAAGAGCAAATCTTTCTGCCATATTCTTTCTCCCAGGCATTTAGCTGCATGCTGTATTGGGAAACTCATTATGATTGCAGTTAATTTAGCATTAGAACATCACTAATTGACCAATGTAATGTATAGAACTAATTTTTCACAGCTCAGGGACAAGAATAATTACTTCCGCTTGTCACTAAAGAATTTACTTGACTAGTTTAATTTTAAAATTATCATTATAAAATAAATGTGTATTAACAGTGCACATTCTAAGCTAGAATAAATTAGTCTCTAAATAGGTAGCTCTGAGTTTAGTTTTTCTTGTTGCGCTAAACAGAACATATGCCAAACCTTGAAATTAGATTCTACTCTCAAATGATTTGTTTTCCAATTTATTTAAATTAATGGGTCTAACATAAAAGAATTAATTTTTATATTCAAAGTTTTAAACCATTCTGTTTTTACAAAGCTTTTCCCCTCCCTATTACTGTTTTTAAGGATTTGGTGAAAATTCACAGGAATCTTACACAGGACGTCAATGATTCCATTGTCAACAAAAATGATCAGAACCTATATCAAATTTTTATTAACTACAAGGAAAGGTAAGACTTAAGCATTCTTACTAATTGTGCTAATATGTGCTCAGTTTGGTATTTTACTGTATTTTTATTTGGTGAATATTTCTGAAACAGGATTCAGTTCTAAGTAAGTATCTTTATGCAAGCTAGTTTTGGTGTTTTCAGTGTGGAAGTCAAAATGCAACCTATTGTTTTATGAGCTGTCACTCTTGTTAGCCCAGATTTGGCAATATTTTTACTTGGGTAACAAATATATTTTTAAGAAAACTTAAATTTTGCACAGCACTTTTTTTTCCATGCACATAATCCCAGATATTTTATAACATGTATTAGTATTGTTTAAGAGATTAAAAAAAGGATACTTACTAGGGATGTTTCAGATTAAAGAAAACAGAAGAGGTCATAACTGGAAAGTAGAAACAGCATATGTAAGAGAAGAGACTATGGTCTTGCTTTACCCTGAGTCAGAGGTGTGATAGTAAAGCAAACACCATTTGCCTTCAAGCTTTGAAAAGCAGCCAAGCTGATAACAGGACAGCTGTGGCAACATGCCATACCCTGTGGGCTAATTGCCCATTTTTTACCTACCTTTTCATATTCTCCTTCTGCCAGCACTGACAGCTATTGGACTATATAGATGAATTTATCTGCCTGTGGTACTTGGCTGAAAACACTTGTTCTGTTGGCTACGTTGATGACCTATCTTAAAGCAACCTTTGGGTTTTGGTTAAAAATAAAGTCCTTCTGGGACCAGAGTTAAGAAAGACTTGAGGGAACTAACTGGGTTTCCTTCAGGGTGAAGGAGGATTATTGCAGCAATAATTGGTGTGTGAGAAACTGGGCAGCAGCATCTAAAGAATGTTAGATGGGACAGTTTTCTAAGGGAGGAGGGTGTCCCAGACTTCCCATAAACAGTCGTACCTTCAGAGACCCTCTGTCTCAGCTTCTAGGTTGGAGCAGGACACAGTTATTTCCCAGGCTGTTACACTTTCTGTTGCTGTAGGAGGGAATCAGGGGACAAAGAGGTATTCTGGAAAATGCTTATCTTTCTAAAGTTGTTCTGAAATGTGTGCTAAAAGAGGAACAAAGGACCCTGAGAAGAAATACCAAGTTTACATTATTAAAAAAAGGGAACAGAGGTTGATGCAGTGTCTGAACCATATCGTGATCAAAAGAAATAAGAAATAATAACTTCTAAATAATTGTCATCACCTTATTGTTGAAAAAAGAAATAAATAAAAGGGTAAAGGTTAGGTGAGAGAAAAAGAAATTTAGGAGACCTCAGTGGAAGGCTCATGGGAACCCACCAAAAAAGGTTTGAAGCATACAGAAGAAATCACCTCAAGAAATAGATGAAAAGGTGAAAGAAGAGAGCACTCTTGGCACTGGGACTAGCAGAAAGAAGCACTCCACAGAGAGGCAAGAAACTCCTGTCGTAAAACCAGGCTCCTTCAGGAAGAATTGCTACACTTGATGTCTGAAAATTTCTTGAGATTTCATACACTATTATTTTGATCTAAGAGGTTAGACCTGGTAGAAATGTTGGAGACAGATCAGTTTGGATAACCTATGAGTTCTTAAAGGATGGCTATAATTAATCCTATTAGGCCTGTGCCCCAGAATTTATTCACTACAACCTTGGAAGTCTACATTGCTTCTACACTGTTCTGTTAAACAGAATTTTTGCTTCTTTTAAATGAATCCTGTATTTATCAGAACATATATATATGTATATATGTGTCTATTAAAGGCAAATGCAATGATTTTACATTTGATATGTGACTATTGAAGGCAAATGCAATTTCTATTTGAAAGTAGAGCAAAACTGTTATCCTGAATAATCTTCATCCATTCATGCTGTGCATTGAATACATGGTTAAATTCTATCCTTGCTTATGTAGGCACTGCTCCTTTTGAAATAAGGATTGTGATTGAGGGTTGTTCTCAAATAAACAAATGTTGCTTTCATTTTTTCTCTTGCTTTGATTTAGGTTGGTTATTTATGGACAGTACTGCAGTCAAGTGGAGATAGCAATATCGTGCTTAGACAATATCTCTAAGACAAAAGAAGATGTTAAATTGAAGTTAGAGGTATCAGTATTTTTTAACATGTATATATATGTATTCACGTTATACCATGTGTTTCTGTGATTATGTGCTGCTTTCATTGAAGTCAAAACCTTTATGATTATGAAACTAGCTGGACTGGTGAGTGAATATGTTTCCCTTCATTCTTTTGGAGCCTCTGATCCAATGACCACATGGTGCTTTCTGCAGAGCTACTGCCCATCTGCTGAGCCCTCAGGGTCAGCATGTCCCTGGCTGGAGCCTATGGGCTGAGGGACTTCATCTCTGCCTTGTAGATGTTTGTGAGGTTTGTGCTGGGCCTGCCCTGAGGGGCGTCAGCTGCGCCCTGGGCTGTGCAGACCTGCTGAGGGTGTCTGTGTCTCCTGCTGCAGGTCACTGTCAATGGCTCTAAAGGAGAGGTGGCCTTGGACAGAGCCCTCAAGAGCTGTGTTTGCAGCTGTCCCTCAGGTGGTGCAGGAAACATCAGTCACTGCACTTTTTGAGCCTCATAATTCAATCAGCTTTTAGAGATATGGAGCATAACATCCCAACCTGGATATTACTGTACTGTGAGAGATGAAGCTGTGGAAAAGTCAAGGCAGACTGTCCCCACCCATTTACAGATGTAGCCTTTCATTGTGGAAAGCAGTCAAGTAGGTCAGGCATTGACTTGCCTATAAATCCACGCTGGATATTCCCATATACCTTCCTCATGTGCCCAGATATTGATGCCAAGAGGACTTGCTCCACAATTTTTGCAGTGTAGGGCTGAAATGAGACTGTCTGGCCTGTAGTTTCCATGATTACCTTTTTTTTTTTTTTTTCCCCATAGGAAAATATTTTTTCTAGCTGTATGGAATGTCTTATTTCTGTTGCCTTTGTTCTACTCTCTCATGCATGTTGAAACATCTGAAAACATGTGACTAAATGCAGGCTTTTTTTGGTTTTGCCAGATCAACTGTTTTTCATTTTGTTGCTACTATTTATCACAAGCTTAAGATAGTTGCTTGTATGTCACTGGATTTTCATATGTATCACTTGAATAAGTTTATTTTCTAGCTCTGTTGTCTTGTTCTTTCTTCTGCTTTGAACTAGGAATGTTCCAAGAGGGCCAATAATGGGAAATTTACATTGCGGGATCTCTTAGTGGTTCCGATGCAAAGAGTGCTGAAATACCATCTACTGCTCCAGGTATTTTATTTTTGAAATTTAAGAGGGTTGAGAGCAAAACTGTGATTGTTTATCATCAGTGGGTTGTAAAATGAAAGCCAAATGTATTTATCAAAGGAAGGTGATTGACGCTTCCCTAGATATGTTAAGAAATAAAATTCAGTCAAGTGCAGGGTTTCTCCCAGAGATAATTTCTTAGAGCTGAAGCTTATCTGCGGAAAATAAAATAAAACATGATTATTTCCTCAGTCTCTGGACCTTTTATTGTTGGCGTGTATAAAATGGTTAGTAGTACCAAACCATAAGCATAGTACTTGGAAATGTCAACCATTATCCCCCAAAAGAGGAAGCTGGGCCATACATACAGCATACTTTTAAGATACTTCTTCGCTGTCATAAATTGCAATTAAGCCATATTTATTTTGAAATGCTTCTTGTTATAACCCACAAAGCATTATCTTTTGCAGTTAGTCCTGTAATAAGGGTGGAGAGTCTTATAAATTTAATTTGATAGCTCTGCCAGGAGACTCATTAGTTCAGCTGTGAAGAAATGTATTACTGTATTAGACTGTCAACCCTGCTGATGCTTGTAAAATGTCATTTTTAAAAGATCTACTACTTATATATGGAGTATAATTTTTACTCTGCAGAACAACATAAATTTTGTAATATTAAATTTTTGAAATACTTCTGTAAATGAGTCATCAATATTTTGATCAATGCAAAACTGGAAAAAAGCAAATGAATGGTACAACATCTTTTAAAAAACCTTATAAGATATGACTGATTTTATAATCAACCTGTATATAGTGGAAAGATGGTATACAATGTCACTATGCTCTTTGTAACAATATCTATATGTTGTACAAGAAAAATATTTTGCAGACTTGGAAAGAAAAAAATGAGTAAAATGTTAGAATTGCAATGCAAATATAAGTACTAATTACTTATTATTTTAATTGTAATACGAGTATAAAAATACTGTTTAATTTCTTGTGATTTTACTAAGTTATCTGAGCTGAAATGTATAATTATTTCCTCAAATTATAAGGAAGAAATTACCCATTTACACAAGGTTACACTTCTACTTCATAAAGCCCCAAAAAGACTGTATTTTCCGTATGGGAAGTGCCTAAAATAATTGTTTCAACATGTAAATTTGATTTCAGTATGTTTTCTGAGTCAGCTTCCTCTTAGGTATGATAAGACAGTGACTTTTAAGCTGTGCACACTTCAGCTGAGGTTTTATTGCCAGCATGGAGCTCTGTCTGCAGACAAGTGCATGCTTTGGAATAGGATGAAATTCCATATAGCAATGTGTAAATGAACCTGAGTGTTGTTTACCTGGGCTTCCAGCATGCACATACAGTAATGATCTGATTTGGCAAGTTTTAAGTGCTAGACAGACCAAATTCACTTCTCGTGATGGTTCATTAGCAGCTAAAGTCAGTGTTTAGGCTGTGCAGCAGTCATTCCTAAGTACTTGCCAATTTTGCAATAGTCCCCACTCACTGATAGGCTGCTCACTCTGGAGGTGAAAATGCCTATTCTTGGTTTTGGCTTCTGTATTTTTTGGGGGTGGGGATGAGCAATGATGATTTCAATTTATCAAAACTACAAATGGTGGAAAGTTTTAACTGCTCTGTCCACAGGAGCTGGTAAAGCACACTACTGATGCCATGGAGAAAGCAAATCTAAAACTGGCACTTGATGCAATGAAGGTGAGCATTTAAGGCAGTGAAGTATTTATGTCTGTTGGTGTTTAGAATGGTAGCTCAGAATTGTATTTCCTGGAGGATATTCTTCACAACATTTCAAACATGTTTTCACAGATTCCTGTGAGCTTATGTCATGGCAGGTATAAAGTTGAGGGTTTTGCTCAAGTCTGGGAAACAAGTTCAGTAGTTTTCTGAAAGAGAAGGCTTGTGAAATGGGACTTCCCCATTTTGGATTACTTTTGTATTTGCTAAAAAACAGGTGTTTTATCAATGTTGCTCTTGCTTCTGAAATCTAGGAGTATTTCTACTGCTGTAAGTAAATTTGAATTGAGATCAGTAATTTTCCAGTGAGATAGAGAGCTGTCTTTGTTTACAAGACCTTTTTCTATCATCTTAATATGATCTCTGTGGCATTACCTTTGAAAGCAGTAGTATCTTTCTGGAGGTAGGGTACCTGTCACTATACATTCATCTGCAAGCGGTACAAACAAATGCTTTATAGAATAACTGTGCTGCCTTGTGCATAAGGTAATATATTATGTGCTCCTCTGCACAGCTTCAGAAACAAAGCACAGGTCTGCTTCAGTTGCCTTCATGGCATGAATTGTGACATTCATGTGCTGGAATTGGGAAGTTTTTTCTGTTTTCTGTGGGGAAAGGAGCCAACATGACATAAGTTATATCTCCTGTTGTAATCTGTATGGTCCACAGTAGATGCTGAAGTCAGACTAAGTTAGTTTTGGGTCACACAGCTGTCTTGTATTTTGTGACTGCCTTGAATGCCTGGAATACAAACCAGCTCACAAATGAGATTTTTAGTTCCCTTTTTTGTTATCCATTTTTGTGCAGTGAATGTAGAGGAATGGGCACCATGATAATTTCCCTCGGAGAGGTGCCTGAAAAGAGATGGTACAGTGATCATCCATCTAGTGGCAGGCCATGCATCCTGATTCCTGCTAATTGGCTTGGAAAATAACTCTGTTTTATATTTACCCCTGCTTTTTCTTTCCAGTTTGCTGGTTTTCTTCATTGTTGGTGTCTGTTGGATGTAAAAATCAAAGAAATCTCTTGCCAGAGTGGCTGTGGCAGAGATGTGCTGACTGGCAGGATGTAACCAAACAAAATACTACAAAATCTTACTCCCCCCTCCAAACCCACAAACCCCTGAGATATGTGTCTCTCCTTAAGGCTGCAGCACTGTTCCCATTCTGATTTACTGTAGTCCCTGCCATTGTAGTAAAAATAACAGTGTAGCACTGGTATTTTGCTTCTAAAAACCCTGGCGTCTTTCACCAAGAAAGACAAAGAGAAAATGTCTTTGGAAAAACTGCTAGCAAAGTGGTACTGCCCCCCAGGAAAGAAAATTATTGGGAGAATTATGCTGTTGGATTTCTTTTGGCAGCAAGAAAAGAGGCTATTTAATTTCTAACCCAAGCCTTTTAAGACTGACGTGAATGTATCCTGCACAGATCTGTTTGGGAAGCTAGCATAATGACTGCAGCTATTCATAGTTTTTGATTAAAAACATCTTAGTGAGAAGATGTATTTTCCTCCCACCCTCCAAATTTGTGACCATATTGAAGGGATACTGTAAAAGCAACTTAAGAAGATCAGAATGCCTTTTCCAACTGCTGCTCTCAGCATTCCTGACCCTACCAATTACCTCTTCAGCTCACTCCTCATCTCCAGCCATAAACACAGAAGCCCCAGCAAATTGTCACTATTACTCAAGCATCTTCAGAGCATTTTAAAAGCTTTAGTGAAATGTGTACAATACATGTTCTGGTAAAGGGCACAATAATGATCTCACCCTGTGACTTCAGGTAGTATATCCCTTCAAAAGCCCCTTTTAAAATCTGCTGTGTAATGGCTTCTCTCTGCTGTGCAACAGTAAGAGCAAGATCCCCCTACTGGGGCTGTAGCCTATAAGCACCCAGGTTTATGATTCATTTACACCTTACATTCTGTTTTTGAGCTACCTTATATATGTTTTCTACTATATTCTCTATTTACCTCAGAGGTTGGATGTTGACTGCTTTTTCCATAGTGAGCTGCATAAATTACGTTTCCATCTTTAATCTTGAAAATAAAACACTAAAGAAAGGCAGAAAAAAATCAGCTCTTTTAAAGAATTTATTACTTGTTTCCCTCTTTCCTGATAGTAAATTCACGTTCCAATAGATATGATGAAAAGTGCTGTAAATATTATTGAAGATATGCAGACACTTTTTTCCTTCTTTATTTGGGCATACATATTGGTAATTCTTGAATGTTAAAGAGAATTTCAAAATTACTAAATACCTAGATAAGACAAAGGTAAAATAAACATGTCAAAATAATTTATTAAAGCAGTATGTTATAGAAAAGTTATTCTTTTCCTCCCTTTTGCTGTTGATACTCTAGGACTTGGCTCAATATGTAAATGAAGTAAAGCGAGATAACGAAACACTTCGGGAAATTAGACAGTTTCAACTATCAATAGAGAATTTGGTATGTGATTTTTTAATTTACATATAATTTTAAAATCACTTTTGATCAAACCTATTGATGTATTTTGTCCTCATAGGAGTTTATTATAATCTTGATAATATTTAAGTATAAGTTTGTTTTCTTTGGTTTAGAATGACCTGCATATTAAAGTACATATATCTCTCTATTCTGAGTGTTAGTAGTTAAATATGTTTGTATATGGACAATGACTCTCAGATGTTTTTTTTAATGGGAAGACCTTTCCCATTTGAAGACAAAAATAGAATGGACTGATTCTTTATAGTATTTAGTTTATGCTAGTAGGGAAAAGATGTTGTTTCCTGGTCTGAAAAGACCTTTATTGGGGTAAAAGGATTTAGTGGTCTAACATTTGAATGTGTTGTTATCTTCACACTGTTGCTGTATGGAATCATACATTTTACTTCTATTTCAGAACCATTCCCTCTTACAGTATGGCAGACCTCAAGGTGATGGAGAAATAAGGATAACAACGTTAGACAGACGTGCAAGGCAAGACAGGTGATGGCATAACTTGTGGTGTTCACTGTTGAAAACCTGTGAAGTGATTCTTGATAGATGGGAGGTCAGCTCACTGATTCTTGGGGGCTTTCCATTCCACTGGGCATTCAGATTCTGTCTACCATTGACCAAGTGCATGTGCAAAGTGATGAATGGAAAATTAGTTATTTCGTTACTGTCTAAGATCATTTAGTCCCTTATAAGGAGTTGGTCTTAGGCTAAAGTACTTGCAGTGTTGGTTGTTTTATTAGCCAGTAGTTTAGATCTTCACCTTGAAAATTTTAAATCACACTGGCAAAAGTGTGTAAAATAAGACTTTTTGGTGTTAGCTTTCTGGAGTGTTTTTAACCATCTCTGTATTGTATTTTCATAGGCATATCTTCTTGTTTGATCTAGCTGTCATTGTTTGCAAACGGAGAGGGGATAATTATGAAATGAAGGAAATAATAGATCTTCAGAAATACAAAATTACAAATAACCCCACTACTGATAAAGAAAATAAGAAGGTAAATATTTGTTGCTAATTCACATAAAATGTTTATGTTTAGCAAGAATTTGTAACATTTTGTATGAGTTTAAAATGTACATACAAATTCTTTAAGATGTTTTTAATTTTAAATATGAGATGGAGTGAATATTTAGATTTGAACTTTGTTTATTTTGAGGTAATTAAAATGTTTGAGTAAGTCATTCTAAGGGAACACAAAGTGGTCCTACTCTTGCCAAAATTAATGAATTAAAGAATATACAAATGCTTTGTTATTTTTTAGGGTTTTTTTTTTTCCCCTTTCCCTTCTTCATACCTGATAATTTTTGTATTGTCAATCTTCTTATGCAGTGGTCTTATGGCTTCTACCTCATTCATATCCAAGGTGAAAATGGTTTAGAAGTTTATTGCAAAACTAAAGACTTAAAGAAAAAATGGCTTGAACAATTTCAGATGGCTCTGTAAGTACATTTTTATTAAGGTAGAATCACATCACTCATGTAAAGATTTTGCTTAAATTACATTGAACTTTTTTCATGTTTTAATACAGTCTAGCTATCTATTTTATTTGACATTCTGAGAAACAACCGGTTGACATCAACAGTATTTCCCTGAAATTCCTCTTGGAAAAGGAAGAGGGCACTCTAAGCTATGTAGTATTTTCCAACCTTGCCGCTAAAACTGTTTTAGTGATGCTGTCTTAAGCAACCATGGGGAAATAATAATTATATTAACAATAAATATCAGAATAGTGACATTTTTCCTATGCCATTTTAATCTTGACTAATTGAAGTATGGTTTTGAAAGGTGATGCTGGTAGTTTGGGAGGGGATGCTGGCATCTTTCCTAGTGGCTTTTATCTAATTCATTAGTTAGCAGCTGAATCAAGTTGCTTGGCACATTAGATTTAGTTTCAAAAGGCTGATTTCCTTTGTATGTTTTAAAGTGAGAGGAGGTTGCTTTAGACTTCTTGAAAAGTAAGTTGTTCAGTTGCAGCACTGCAGATTACATTATTGTTATGCAGCATGAACTTTATTTCCATTTCTGATACTTGTCAGAAAGACAAACATGATTATTGACACTTTGGTTATTGTGATTAAATTTAAAGCATGCACAAGGGAATTGGATGACAGGTGATGCTTGCATTATGGAAAGAAAAAGTGTGAGGGGGAGTGAGACTCCCAGTGAACACAGACAGCATTAGCAATGGTTTGGATGTGGTTGTAAAGGGGTATGGATTCAGGAAAAAGGCTATTGTGAGCTGATTTGAGTGAAATGTCCTCAAAAATTATACATACTTTTAAAAAACCTCAGTATGACGAGTGTTAATTATATAATGGAAACATGGAAGGAGAACCTGAGCTGGACAGATACAATAAAGCCTGTTTACTAGGTTTCCCGTCTTGCTGATTTTTATGGAAGGCAAAAGTGACATGTGTTTTGGCAAGAATTTCTGGGTGGCATAACTGGGGATGGAAGGAGGTATTTATTTGCATGTGTATCTCCTTCTGTCCCTCTGCTCTCCCTGCTGTGCTTTGTGTAATATCATAATTATGTTTACTTAACATGTGTGTGAGAAGTGAGGCACTCAGACGTACCAACTTCAGCATTGTGACTCTTCATCACTCCTCAGCCATTCTGGCCCAGTGCCCCAAAAAACCAAACAAACCAGAAGTTAGGCAAGGTACTAAGAAGAATGGAGAGAGCACTGTGATTTTTCCCCCTAATTCTTCCCGACCATTTCTATGGTTGTGTGCAGGACCATTCTCCCTGTCCCTCCTTGTGCTGCTGTGTGAGTGCAGCTCTGCCCTCATACAGTGCTGGGCAGCAGCCAGCGCTGCTCAGCTGTTGGGAATGTGCCTCTGCCACAGGAGCTGGGGCTGCTGCTGGCCTGTGGGAGCAGAGCCCGCAGCACCTCAGTGGTTGGCGAGTTTGTGTGCCACTCTTTCCTCTCTGGCAGATGGACTTGGTCTTTGAAAATGGGTGGTGGTGTCTTGCATGGATGTTTGTCCTTGTAAAGTCACACCTCTAGTTTAACCTCTTACCATGTGGTTAAGGCACCAGCGCTGGAGCAGCAGGATCAGGACTGAGGTGCGCCATGATGCAATGGCATTATTGCTTTCTCAAGTTTTCCTTGCTTATCCCCAACTCTGTTACATGGGTTTGACTTCACTGTGTTTCCCTGAGCATCTCTCCCAAAACATACCTTGGTGCATGTAGCAGCAATAATGATCTTCTAATGCATGCTGAGACACAAGACTTTGTATTTAGGAATAAACAAAGCCAAGTGTGTTGAGCAGTTGCTCGGTTTGGTTTGATTTGTTGTTTTCAGGGCTCTCGTTGTCTACTGTGTAGATTAACTTTCCTGCTCTGAAAAGTAGCTGTGATTGAAATTGTGCTCTTATTCATTTCATTCAATTATAATTGCTGCTTCCATTGGCAAAATACTTCTCATTACTTAAAAATTTTACAAGACTGCAAACCTAGCAAAGTTGAAGGGGTAAATAACTTTGGGTTTTAATTATCATGATGCTGTTTACTGAGTTCTAGACAGAAATTTCAATGCTTTTGGGATAGCAGTGTGTTGAAGTCAGGTTTGTGCAAGTGTTAATCTAAGAACATAGTAAGAGGACAAACTAGGATCTCTCTTATTATTTTTAAAGTAAGAATTTACCTTGTTGCTGCTAGAACAGTCTAAGAGGCATAATTATTTTAGCTAGGCTGTAATTTCTCTTTTTTTGAAGGGGGGAACTTAGATGTATATACTGGTGTATGAAATAGTTATGATAGTTTATTTGCTGAAAAAGCAACTATTATTGAGATGCTAGTGTTGCTGAGATGAGTATTTGCCTCCAGAAATGGGAAGCTTATGTTATTGATGAAGTATGATATAGAGGAGAACACTGCTTTGTTGACTGGACTTGATTTAGGTGCAGAGGGCAGGAATACATTAGGCATACTTGGTATGGAAAATCCCTAAAGGAAGGCTATATGAAATCCCAGTGCTATTTCCAGAGTGTTACTTTTCAGAGTAGTAAATTTCTCTTGGAAAGCTAATTTCAAAAACCTGTGAAAATATTCTACCTCTTAGTCAACTCTGTTAGTGTAGTGTGTGGTGAGTTTTGTTTTGAGGGAGGTTGGAAATGCTGGGTTACTGGTCATAGGAAACTGAGCAAATGGTTTTTATTTATTTTATTTATAGATTGTTTTTTACTTATTGCAGCTCTGTTCCTACAGTATGTATTTGCTATTTTTCTGAGACTATTGCTTTATTTAGAAAATATATAATATACTAAACACCCTGATTTCTTTTTCTCCTAAGAATTTCATGGGTGTTCTTGAAGCCTCTTCATACAGCATATCCTTATACAACAATGATTCTGTGGTCTGGCTGCACTGAGTTTGATGCTGTCGACATAGACATAGTAATAGCCACAGCTGCTCATTTGCTATAGCTCCCAAAAAAAGTTTTGGGTTGGTGTACAACCCAAAATTGCTGCTTCTTTTGGAGCACTGGATTTTCTAGATCACAATAAAATGAAGCAGGACACTGGGGCAGCATAGTTAATATTGCAGTCAAGCTCTTTGGTGGATTGGAGATGTTTTCTTAAAGCTGTCTGTCAGAAACCACTGGAGGATGTTTTCAGAGGAGCCATTGTTGTAACTCTTCTCTTGCTGGTGGGGGAATGCACGTTCTGCATGCTCGGGGGGTATAACCTGCTTATTGCCTTGGAAGAGATGGGAGGCTTAACTGTGACACTGGCCAACTTGAGCAGTTGCTATTTTGTTCTTGAAGCTCTGTTCAGAGTAGTGGATGAGCCTTTAGCTGCAAGGGTAAATAATCATCTTGTCAAAGATAGTGCTGCAAAGACTACTGTACCAGACTTGGAATGTTTAAATTTGGTCTAGCATGTCAAATAGCATTGGTTTAAATGCAAAGTCATTCCATATCCAGGATAATATTGATGGAAGTGTACAGCCAAATTACTGTTCCCATTCAGCCAAATTAGAGACATCATGTATTAAATGAAAGTTTGTCAGAAATGTGATAAAGTGCATGGTTTATTTGCTATAACTAGGCCATTTTAAACCTCAAAAACTGATTGTGTGGGACACAAATCTTTTATATTTTCTAGTAGCAGATCCTGTCTAATTTCTTTCCTCCAGTATTGAAAACACCAAAAGAATCAGAACAAATATGTAATACTTTCATTTATTCAGCTTATGCTAAAAGGTGGGAGTGTTGATTCATATTTTTCACCTAGAAAGCTCTTCTACACATGCTTTTTGGTTTTAAAAATGCTTATTTTTAAAAATAGTTGGCTAATATTTGTGTCAATAAATTTATGCTAACCATTCTTTATAAAAAGAAAATACTCCTTGAAAGTTGAATCGCGTTTCCTCTTTTATATGCATATCTACATATTCTAGGTGTGTACCTTGGTTATATTGTTACTTAGCTGACTAATTACAAGGCTTAATTTCTTGTTACAGAGCAACTGCTTATCTCATCATTGCTAAGAAGAATTTAATTCTTCTATTTTCTCATAAGATGATAGAATAAATAGTGAAAGAATCTGTTGATTGTTGTTATTTCTATCTCATGCTGACACTTAACACCCTGTTCCATCCACTAAATACTTTGTGTGTAGTTTGTTTCTTAATCACAGCAGAGCTTGAAGCAGGTGTGTGTGCTCATCACCACAACAGCAGAGATCTTTCCCATCAAAGGCTGCAGAATATATTTTCCCACTGAAAATATTTGAATCCATTAGTGTAATATGACATGTAATATCTTATGCTGGTTTGTGCTGAATTTATTTTGTCATTATGTTGTCCAGTTTCCTAATTTAATTAAGCCTTTCTTAACTGGGTTTTGTAATCTAGTGTAAAAAGGACTGTCAGCAAACTTGACTTGAGTATAGGAACATCTTACACATAAATGCAATTTAAAGGAGTATTTAGGTTGGAAGAGGTGTATAGAGATTTTTGGCTTCAGTCTTCTGCAAGGTTGAGGTTGCCCAGGGCTGTGTCAGCTTTAGTCCTGCTGGAATTCAAGACACATAGAACCAATATTGTAAAGTCTCAGTGTTGTAACACACCTTTTAATTAGACTTTACTCAACTATTGCCTTTCACAAATGGAGAAATTTATGAAACGATCTTGCAGGCAGAGGAACAGTTAAAATTTCACCTTCTGAAGTACTATGATTTCAGCTACTGCTTTGACGTAGCTGAAACAGCAATATTAATGTCATGTCTAATTAGTAATGCCTGAAAAATCAGTGGGAAACAGGTTCATTATAGTGATTAAGGTATGCATTAATTGTGTGGAGTTAATGAATCTGATTTTTCTTTTAAATACCTAAATAAAAGATTTCAGACATGTAAGCTGTACAGCCCTCACAAAATACTGGTTTTAGTTTTAATTACACTGTACTTTGTTTTGGGTCACTAGAGAG